AAGGAATATTTGAAACTAACTGAGCATCTGGAGTGTTCAAGTTTGTCAGAATAGAAGGATTGTGTATTTTATCAGATAAGGACATAACTGCTACTGTGAAGGGAAGAAGTTTCTCTTACTGGAAATTTTACAACTCTATCGTGTCTGTTCTTCTGAGAAAAATGTATAGTACAATACTAGATGTATTAAAAGCTTTTTTTTAAAAGGATTAGTTTAAACCTACAGTGTGTAAAAAGCTGATGTAAATACCACAGAGTTAATGAAATTACAAAAAGTGCTACAGGGAAACACATATTAGACTTCCTAATAATGAGTTTAACTAGAAGACTTCCTCATTATCTACACATTACAAAAGAGATTTAGCGTAAGCAATAACATTCATTTTGGCAAGTTATAATATCTTACTTTACCTCTCTAGAGAAACATTTATTTCTCTGTCAGAAAAACAAAACAGCAAGATCATTTGACTTGTGTTAACAGTTTGATGTACTGTAAATTGTTCTTGCCATAGAAGAAAATAGATAATATAGAATTTATCTGTATTGCCCAGATACAGGAATATTTATGTCATATAGCAAACAAGTTTTATGAGACATATTTAAAATATGAATTGTAACCACAACATCAACAGATCTCACGTAAATATTGAGAAGATGAAGAAAAATCCCAAATATTTGGTAATTGGTTATTTAACAGATCTGATACCATGTATGAAACATTGTATCTATAGAATTATATAAGATAGCAGAAGGAAAATATTATTTAAATTGCTTTACAGTCACAATTATATGTTCTAAAAACTGTTCCAAGTAAAATTGCCTTTTGCAATTGACTGATGGTGATTTTGTCAATGCCAATGGTATTCAAGTGGTGCTCCAGTTTTGGGATTGGACACAAAGTAACTGTTACAATTAGTAGTATCTTTGCTTTCTTTTGCCACAGTGGTTCACATTCTATCTGCAAATCTTTATATTTTGTTATTTTGTCCAGTTCTTCCTCTTCTGTTCTGCTGTCTTCAGTTACTGCCACTTCCATTATTCAGATTTTCTTATCTTTCCTATCAACACTTGTTAAGTCTAGGGTAATTGTGTACTAGATGCTTGTCTGTTTGAATTCTAAAGTCCCAGAGCACTTTAGCTTCTTCATTTTCTGTTACTTTGTTTATTTGGTGGTCCTATCAGTTTTAACTTGCAGGCAAATAGTATTTCTTCAGATATTCCAATGCCCCATTGTTTTCATGCCATTGTAGTCCATCTGTCTTTGTTATGGAATGCATGAGTGACCTCGAGGAAAGATAAGGACAGATAGAATAATCAAATATCGCTTAATGGTCACAGAAAGGAACTGAGAAAGGACCCGCTCTAATGGATCAATGAATTATAAGTGGTGGGCAGGAAGTTTCTATCTTCAGATTTGCAAGATTCTATTGATGTAGGTTTACAATAAAGTAGAATTAGTTCCTCTAATCCAAGCATGTCAAACATGCGACGTCACGTGACATGTCACGATGCATTGCAACTTTTTTCCCATTGCCGGCCATGGGGTGGGCGTGGTTTTGACGTGATTCATCTGGCCCGCAGGACAGCAGTTTGACACCCCTGCTCTAATCTGTTACCTGGGAGGGCTGACAGTCTTCTAGTACTAAGGAGGGAATCAATTACTACCTGTCCATTAGCATCATTTTGACATATCAGTTTGAGGTTGGAAGTTCCTTTTGAGTTCAGAGAACATGTAGAAGATCGTTCTTCTTTTTCTATGTCCCTCTCCATCTTCAGTATCTTAATAGATGTTGTTGAATACTGCTTCCTGTCCCTTTTGAAACCTCTGTAGGTTGATACTCTATTCAGTTTCTTTCTGAGATTTTTATCTTTTTTGTCTTTGGCTTTTATTCTCTATTTTATGCCAGAGAACAGATATGCAAAGCAGAGTTTGCTGTTCAGCAGGTAACCAAGGAATGAACGTTTCAGAAAGTAAATTTATTGTATTTGTTGTTTTAGATAAAGTATATTGTAAAATGCATAAGGAGTGGATTAAGGCACCAGGAGACTGTGAGTTTTAGTTCTGCCTTAGGCATAAAGCTAGCTAGGTGACCTTGAGGCAGTCATTCTCTCTCTTCTCTAGGAAAAGGTAGTGACAAAACACTTTTGAAAATCTTACCAGGAAAACTGCAGGAACTCAAGATTGACACGAAAGTACATGCACAAACGCATGCGCGTGCGCAGAAACACATAGGACTGAATAATAGAATACTTTGCATGAATATGGAGTTGAAAGTTAATTCTGAATCTGACAAGAGTGTGGTAAATTATTAAAGTAATGAATGCATGGGATTGGAAAATTTTGCAAACAGTTCAACAGTTAGGGAATTTAATGTATTTATGGCTGAAAATATAGAAATGCTTGCAGCCACATTATAAATATTATGTTGGGATCATGATTTTATGTGAACTTTTGTACACAGATTGTGCTGTGCTGTTAATGAAGATTCCAAATTATTTGCAGCAAATGTTACATTGGATTAGTTGGTGAAAACCATGGCGCTGGAAAAAAAATGTATCAAAGACCAAAGTAGTTATGTTTGACAGGCAATAGAGCAAATCATTGTAAGCAATACATAAATGGTGAAATACTAAACAGGTAAATGATTTGAGTACCTTAGCAGAATATTTATAGGCAAATAAATGGAGAAATTTTAAGATCTGCAAATAATGGTAGAACGGGTGAGCTGTTGCAAGGAATGAAGGTTGTCTGAACAAAGGAAACATGATTGTTTATAATAATGTGGTTCTACCCATTTCATTGTATCAAAGTAAGATTTGGGTATGGCAGGAGAAACCTAAAATTGAATGCTGTGGGAATAATATAGTTCAGAAATATGTTTGGTAAGCAAGAGGAAACTGGGTCAAGAATAAATTGATGCATAAATCAAATTACCATTGTGGAAGAAGTATTCTGAATGTGGTTTTGGCAGACAGAAAAAAATAATCAAATTGCAAAATAAATATATGAAGAAAGACCAAATTGGGGGAGAGAAAAGGCCAAAAAAATCCCATTTGGATAGTGTTAATGGAATCCTCAAAAAAGAAATACAGCATCTGGGGTTTAAAGAACAAAAGGTAATATATGAAGCAGTGTAACATTGTGATGAGCATAAGGATGAATTGCAAAAATAAAAGCATATGCAGATGTATACTATCTAATGTTGTTGGTGTAAATGTGTTTTAGCTACTTTATTATTCTGTTATTTATATTTGTAAGAAACTCATAAATGATTAAATATTTGCATTCAGTTTACCTTACTATTATTGTATTCAATTTAGTTGCATTCAATTTACCTTACTATTTTTATTATTTTTCTGCACTGGGTGTAATGTTCTTACCCTGAAATCAATTAGATAATGAATATGTGTATAGGCAAATAAAACAGGAAATGGCACAACATTTACATGCTTAAAACAAATATATCTTTGGAAAAATGATTGAGGTGTACTTGAGTAACTACAATTGGATGAGTGCATTTATCCTGGTAAACATGCTGAAAGATATAATGGACCCTTTAAAATGTATGGTTCAAACCAAAGAATGATATTTGGAATTTCAGTAAATGAATTGTTTGGAAACATAAATTGCCATTTGACTTCCTTTTCAAACCTTGTTCAATATACTTAAACTTCATTTCTGAGACTTGAAATCTTGACTCAAAACTCAACCATCCACAATTATAAACCAAAGCACCCTGAGCAACATCATGAAATGAACACATTTTATAAATTCATCATCAGAATATGCCCTTACAATACTAAAAATGATTAATTTATTCTTTCACAAGATGCCAAAGGTAAAAACCAAAGGAGACATGGCTTCATTTTACTGATAATATATATGAACGGCCAAGTTACTTTATTTAAAATTACTGATGAATTGTTAATCTTAAGGCTATCTGAATAATGCAACCCATAGAATTTCTATGCAAACAGACACTGAGTAACATGCAACATATTTGGTTTTTTTTTAATAATTATCATTTAGTCATTACAGGTTTGGAGTACTTTTAAAATCAGCAACTGAATGACTAAGAAGCATCTCGAATCACTATTATTTCCAGCTATTTCAGTGCATCAGCATATTAGAGTCATTAGATTCCACACAATTACAGCTTTAAGAAATCTGTAGATGAAAGAAATCACACTTTGATCAATATGCTAAATAGGAATGGAGACTATGGTTCTCGAAATGTTACTTAAGTAGTATTCCTAAGTATGCCTAGTCAGGAGCATCCCCAATAATGGTCACTAGCTTCAAAATGTCAGACACAACTAGGCAATTGAAGTCCTATTCCCTTCTACATGTATGCAGTGTAATACAATACAGGTAATCTTCAACATACGACAATTGAGCCACAACATTTCTGTTGCTAAGCGAGACAATTTTTAAGTGAATATTGCCCCATTTTACGATCTTTCCTGCCACAGTTAAGTGAATCACCACAATTGTTAAATTAGTAACATGGCTGTTAAGTAAATCTGCCTTTCCCAATTGACTTTGCTTGTCAAAAGGTCGCAGAATGTGGTCACATGACCCTGGGACACTGCAACCATCATAAAAATGAGTCAGTTGTCAAGCATTTGAATGGGGATGCTGCAATGGCCGTAAGGTGAAAAATGGTCACTTTTGTCAGTGCCGTTGTAACTTCGGCACTAAATGAACTGTTGTAAATCGAGGACTACCTGTATACATTAAAAAGGAGCACACATCATTTTAAAGCCAATAATCTTTGCTATATAGAATATATATTTTACACTTCCTGTTAAGTACATATTTTAGATAGGAAAATACAAATAAGTTAAGTTGACTTTGAAATGTTTCAAAGGATTTTCTCTCCTATATAGGGAAAAATTGCTACAGCAGGTTTTATTGTTGGCATATACTGCCTTATGTAAGATCAATGTAATCTTTAACTAATTTCCATTTCTAATCAGACACAAGGGAACACAAAATAATTCAGGATATTTGACAGAAATATTAACCTTATTTTATTAAAGATCAAAAATATGTGTTTCAGGTCATAAACATATTGCACAATTTCAGCATTTCACATGATACAGATTATAAAATCATTACAAAGTTTTTATATGGACCTATTCTAAAAATTGAAAAGTTTTTTTCAAAATCAAACCCCAAAACAAAGCAGTTTTCATACATATGTATAAAGGATTTCAGGTTCCTTTCATTAAATTGGATGTAGTGGCTGTGTAGAAAGGCATCCGATGGCAGGAATTTTTTTGGAGGGGGGGGGAGGAAATCCAAGGAAGCAAAATAATATAAGAGAGGGTTTTTTTAAATTTTTGGACTTTTTACAGGAGAACAAAATAAAATGAGCAAGGACGAAAGCTCTCTTTTCTGGGATGGTTAAGATGTGAGAACTTAAAACTATGTAAATTTCTTTATGTTCGATGTTTCCCAAAAGGAAAGAGACTACTCCAAATTGCATTGGTTATTGCAGGTAAAAAATTCCCTTCTCAACATAGATTCCTATGTTATTTAAACATTCTCTCCCTAGACCCCAGTAATCTTGGCCATCTTTGAAATTTGCTTTTCTACCAACTAATGAAAACTACTACAGTAAATATTTGTTCACCATTCGTTGTAGGAAGTTGGAAATTGTTACTTAAAGCTATTGTGAATCTTTATGAACCTAACAAATTAGTTTCAATTTACCCACAAGAACGTAGGAGTTATTTAAGTACATACCAGAAACAAACAAAACAAAATTCCATCATCTTCAAAAGAAAGTATTTCCATTTTAAAGAAAAAAACCCAATAGTCTAATACCTACTGAAAAGTAATATGATTTATGAACATCATTATTAAACTAATATACCATTTTACTCTACAAATTGTATATTTACTTGTGGATGGAAAAGAAGAAGATACACTGTGGTTTTTTATACAGTGCAACAGAGACCAAAGCAAAGTGTTTCTTTATAAGGCACATCTTCACTCAGAAATATGCTTCACTATATTAAATGAAACCTATTATCAGATAGGCATCCATGGTTTTGCAACTTCATTCTTATAAATACTAGCTTTTTATGAATACATGAATTCTCAAACAGTGATATTGTTGACAACAAGAAGTTGGGAACATGTTTTCTGACCCTGGGAGGTTTTCTCTCCCAATGTTCTGAAAGCCTCTACAGTCTTCTAGAACAGGGATCCCCCACCCCCGGTCTGTGGACCAGTACTGGGCCGCAGCATGCCAGCAACCGGTCTGCACAAACAAGCAAAGCCCCATCCGTGGGATGCAGGCAACACACGAAACCATGCCCCATCTGGTCCGTGGAAAAACTTTTCTCCACAGAACCAGTCCCTGGTGCCCAAAAGGTTGGGGACATCTGTTCTAGAACATATTTGCGAGAAGCAGGATTAGAGATTGCAGGAGAAATTAACCAAGATTGCTACATCTTTTTATATTGCAACAGTGAATTCTTCTGCTGGATCAGAAGCTTCAAGTGGAGGAAAGGATTTTTTCTGGTCACTGGTGGCAGAATCTGGATCCAGTCCAGGCACACACAAGACTGAGTCCCATTTTCTTAATCATGCAGAAGATAAAGGATATCCAGATGGCTTTTTGCCCTAAATTCAGTTAATCTGGCAATTGTTTCTTAAAACTTTATGAAACCAGAGTGATTTTATATACTGATTCTTTGAACAGAAAACATATATTGAAGAATTATGATGTGTTTACCTTGAAGGTGAATTAATATCTTTTGCTACCTTGCTTTAAAGCCAAATAGCAAATGTGATTCCTAATTCAAAAGCTCAGAAGAAAGCCCCCATTATTACAAAATAATCCCCACTTGCATAATTTTCCTTGCATTCCAAAATCATCACCTACAATACTGTGGAAATTTACTTGCATCTCATGAAATAAAGGTACTGGTATATAAGGTACACTTCCTTTATGTTAAGCTAATACTGATCAAAATATTTACACACTAAATACATTGACATGTAAACATGTATACATAATATATCTATATACACACTAAAATAATCATAAGTAAATGAACAAAAATCAAGGAAGGCCTGTGTAACGTATGTACTGTAGATTAATATCTCAGTAACTTCTACCACTGTTCCCAGGTAAAATCATCTCCTCTGCCAAACAGAACAAAAAAGCCTAAAACTGTAAGAAAAATTACTGCATTTCCAGCCAGCACAAGGCCACAGGCTCCCCACTTGATCTGAAATAGAAAATGAAATTAAATTAACCTTTTATTCATTGATACAAAATATATGCTATTTTGAGCATTAGAGAAGTCCAAAGAAATACAACATCTTGATGGTAAAAGCACTTAAGATAAAACACCAAATTTTAAGAACCAAGAGAACTATTAATTACGTAGTTAGTAGTCATTATAGAACTCATCATCTAATTTGCTAAAACAAACTGACATAAAAACAATTACAAGTCCCTGAATGGCTCAAGAGAGCAATTAATGAAAATTTACAAGAAAGCTCATCCACCAAAACATAAAGCTAATTGTGAAGAATTATTTGTAAGCAATCAACCACAGCATAAAACAGAATCTTCCTGTTACCAGTACAAATCTGTAAGGCTGGCTATCCCCTATTACAAGAAGTTCTGAAATTTGAGAGATGGAATAGAAACAAGATTATTTTTTTAACAAGGAATGAAATGCTCATTTAAATATATTATATTTAATTATTATATCAGAAAATTATATAAGGTCCATACTGCTATACATCTCTTTAAGCCATACTTCCTAAAATTGTTAATTCCAGAATTCATTCATGACTTAAATATTTTTCATTTATCAACTACTGCTTTCTAACCTTGATTATGTGACTATAATTAATAAAAATAAAATCTTTATTATGGCCTTTAAGCCAGAGAATGCAGTAAAACTACACAACCTATAATGAATAAAATTAAAAAAGCAGACATAAAGTACACTAAAATCACATACAAATTAATAAAGTAATAATGATACAAATAGAAGTGGCAGTCACCAGAATTTGTACTACTTTTCAGTCAAGGGGAGGACAGATATAGGACACATCATTTCCATAATTCTAATCTTCATTTGCTATGGCAGTGGTCCCCAACTTTTATGGCTTGCCGGCTCAGTGGGGGGAGAGGGGAACTGGCCCACGCAAGTAGTGGGCCAGGGGTGCCCATGCGCACCAGCACATTGGTCTTGCAAGTCAGGTTGTGTGCATATGTGCTGGCCCATCATTCATGCGGCCTGGTTCTGAATAGGCCATGGCCCAGTAATGGGTCACCTGGGGATTGGGGATCCCTGTGCTATGGGAAAGAATCAACAAGTTGGCATGTTATAAATTATTAGGTGGAAAAGCTGCCATTGTTATATATGAACAGGTAGTCCTTGAATGACAACTACTTACTTAGTGACCGAAGTTACAGCAGCACTGAAAAAAGTGATTTATGACCTATTTTTCATATGTACAACTGTTGCAGCATTCCCCAAGGTCACATGATCAAAATTCGGACGCTTGGCAACTGGTTCATATTTATGAAGATTGCAGTGTCCCGTGGTCATGTGATCCACTTTTGCAACTTCTGACAAGCAAAGTCAATGGGGAAGCCAGATTCACTTAAGAACTGTGTCACTAACTTTACAGCTGCAACAATTCATTTAACAACTGTGGCAAGAAAGGCAGTAAAATGAAACAAAATTAACAAATGTCTCACTTAGCAACGTATTTTTTAGGCTCAATTGCAGTTGTAAGTCGGGCTACCTGAATGTCGAAGAAAAGAAATACAATAACCATGAGTGGTAGTTTAAAGGCCCTTAGAGGACCAGTGGACACCAGTAAAGTACTGGAAGATCATAACTAAAGTTAACAACTGGCTAGAAATTTTGGGCAAATTATTAAAAAGACACCCAGAAGTCAATATGCCCCCAAAGCAAAGAATTTCAGCCTACTCTTAAAGCACAGCAATTATCATTTTTGGATGACTTGACATTGTTTATCTTTCTCCCTCTTACAATTTTTTCTCTATTGGTGGCCTGGCATAGTTTCTGCAAAGAGAATGTATATTTGTGCCAAAGTTAAAGGTTTTGTAACTAATGCAGCAATCCCTATGAGGACTGAGAATTTTTATTAAATATTGTGCAAGAATGTTAATATGCCAAGCCTCAAATTGTTAAAAAGGGAAGTTGAGAGGTCAGCTACATTGTTTCCTCACATTATGTTTTCTATCTAGTGATAATAATGTTTTATAAGACATATTTAGTTATAGGAAAAACAGGGTGTTTGGAAACATATTTCAGATCCTAACAGCCCTCCATTGCTTCAAGGAGAATTTCATAAATAGAAGCCTTAAATCTTTCAGCCAGCAATTATAGCAGAAGAAAGTAGTCTGAGCTAGCATGGTCAAAGATAGATTAATTCAGACATAATTATCCTCCTAGTCCAGGTGCAGTTTGTTTGATCAAGAACAAGCTGTGTGTGTTTGATCCTTCATCTCTGTTTTTCATACTTCAGTACTTCCAAATTTTGTTAAACTATAATTTCCTAATTCAGAAAGTCACGGAAAATTGCAATTTAACAAACCAGTGGTGTAAAAGGCAGGAGAAAATGGGAGAAGGAAGCATGCACATCATGTTCTGTTTTCACATCAAACAAGTAAATGGAGAGGTACTTGAACAAGATACTATGTGGCATAATGGATTTGAGATACCATAATTAGAAAGTGCACCAAAAGCACTTTTAAAAATGACTTCTCACTTAGGTTCAAATCATTAATGTTTTGACAAAATACTATGAAGAGTATCATGGAGTTGTAAATCAAGCACACTACATGGCATGAATCAACTTCTTTCCTGAGAGCAAGTTTTTCTTTACAGATATATATTTACTTTCCTGTGAAAAACCAAAATAAAAGAACTATTATTTTAGAAGATGCTATAAAGTTGTTAAAGCAAAGAAGCATTTTAGCTTCCAGGGATGATGGACAACCCTCTCCCACCCAAAAAAAATATATTAAATTTGGCGAGTCTGATAAGAGAAAAGAAATGGGGAGGCAGACAGTGGATACAGTGGATGAATGACATCAAAGCAATGCCTGTCTGTCTGTCTGTCTATCTGTCTGTCTGTCTATCGCAGTGGTTCTCAACCTGTGGGTCGGGACCCCATTTGGGGTCGAACGACCATTTCACGGGGTCGCCAAACAACACAGTCTGCCATTTTTTCCCCTTTTCCTTAGCTGTGCTACTCCCTTTTATTCTATTGGCTTTTGAAAGCCAATAGAATAGACTTTCTTGAATAGAGTCTAATTCTATTGGCTTTCAAAAGCCAATAGGAATTGTCCACAGGCTGTCTCTGCCCTGCTGAGCCCGCCAAAAGTCCCATTCTGCAAACGGTGCTGCACCAGTTGAGTAGTCTTCGACTTACGACCGGTTGAGTAGTCTTCGACTTACGACCGGTTGGGGGTCGCAGCATTAAAAAGGTTGAGAACCACTGGTCTATCGAATTTAGAATCCACCCATCTCCATCACAGAGAGATGGGAAGTATTTGTCTATAGAGCTGAGTCCAATGCAGTAGTATTTTATTAACTAGACCAGGAATCTTCAAACTTGGCCCTTTTATGACTTGTGGACTTCAACTTCCATAATTCCTGAGCCAGGCACGCTGGTTGAAGAATTCTGGGAGTTGAAGTCCACAAATCATAAAAGGGCCAAGTTTGAAGACCCTGAACTAGACATCTCAGAGACAATTTTGAACAAGGGTGCTGTGGGACAGATCAAACATGATTAAATAGTGGACAGGACCAGGGAATCAAAATCCTGCCTCTTTTTACCTGCATGAAATGCATGCAATACACATTAAAGGGGAGAGGCTTCAACCCTTTTTATACTGCTAATCCCCTTGAGAAGCCCCTGCTTCTGTGATTAGTCTCCCAACTATTGCCCATCAGATAATCTATTTCAACCAACCAATCTATTTTAATATTAAAATGTCAATGGTCCCCATTTTGATTTTAACTAATATTTGTTTTTATCAAAAACTAAAATAGATTTAAATACTTTGTGCTACAGTATCCAGATCTCCAACTCTAGGTATTGTCATAATTATTTTTCATAGTACAGCTAAGGGACTGCTTATCTATGAGAATAAAATAATCAAAAACATGCTTACCTCATTTAGTAGTGGCATTTTAGTTCAAAATAAATAAGCTTTAGATTGTCCTTTGTATGTCATTGATACCAATGTGATAAAGTAAATGTGCTTTATCATCTTTATCAAACATGATTAGGGGACTGAAGGTTAAAAGATATGAAGAACAGTTTCAGGAACTGGTTATGTCTAGTTTAATGAAAAGAAGGACTAGGGGTGACGTGATAGTAGTGTTCTGATATTTAAGGGGCTGCCACAAAGAAGAGGGGGTCAACCTATTTTCCAAAGCACCTGAGGGCAGGACAAGAAACAATGGATGGAAACTAATCAAGGAGAGAACCAACCTAGAATTAAGAAGAAATTTCCTGACAATTAGTGTAATCAGTGGAACAACTTGCCTGCAGAAGTTGTGGGTGCTCCAGTACTGGAGGTTTTTAAGAAGAGATTGGACAACCATTTGTCTGAAATGGTATAGATTTCCTGCTTCAACAGGAGGTTGGACTAGAAGACCTCCAAGATCCCTTCCAACTTTGTTGTACTGTATTCTATTCCGCTTGTAAAATGTAAAAGCTATATGATATATGCTTTTAAGATTCAGAAATGCATTAATGAATCAGCACTCTATCAAGTTGCACGTTATTAATTTATCTTCTTAGGACTTAGGATGAATCTTAAGATCTATGGATGTGACAGAGCTTACATTTCCTCTCCAGAGAAAATTGTAAGAAAATGTTTTTCTTCATTTTATATTTTTAACCAGGAGCGAAATTTATTTTAGTAAGAGTAAGAAAGAATTAGAGCTCTCTCTAGTGGTATGACTGTGGTATCGTTTTTTTCTTGTATCTTTCATAAGAGAAAAATACTCTTAAGCCAAAAGTACAACAGAAAATATTAGGTGTTATTGCTAATATTCTCAGATATTGGCAGAGACGATTTTATAACTGCAACAAGTCAAAGAATTAACACAAAAAAATGGAATCAAGAAATTGAGAAAGAACCCTATAACTTGAGATGAGAATTATAGATACATTTACACAGTTATGTTTTGATAAGAATACCCATTATTTAATCATCAAGACAAGCTCAAAAACTCTGAAGAAATCTGTTGGATTGTTTTACTGGGTATCCTCTTGCTTAAGTGATCCTACTGAGCATTCAGTAAATTACAACAAACATATTCAGTAGAATTATAAAAACATCTCTCTCTCTCTCTCTCTCTCTCTCTCTCTTTCTCAGCCCAACTCACCTCACAGGGTTGTTATTGTGGGGAAAATAGGAGGAGGAAGGGGTACGTTTGTTGCTTTGAGTTATTGGTAAAAACAATAAAGGCAGGATTTTAAAACTTTAAAATAACAAATAAATAAACGTACACAGAATTAAAGTTGAGAACAATGTGAATGGGCTGGAAGGAGGCTCATCACTGAATGTAGCAACCAAGAGTAATAGGATATGTAAAATTAATGGAATGCAACAATGCTAAATATCGGAGGCCTGGAGGATGCCTCCCAGGCCTAGAACGGCCCGCCAGAAGTGCGGGGATGCCACTTCCGGAAGTCCGTCTTCCAGAAGTCCATTCTAGGCCTCTGAGGCCTGAAGGAGGCCTCTCAAGCCTAGAACGGCCCACCAGAAGTGTGAGGATGCCACTTCCGGAAGTCTGTTCTAGGCCTCAGACGCCCAGGTCTGCATCCACGCAGAGAACCAGTTGTTCAGGGATTTGAATCCCACTACTGCATACATACATACATACATACATACATACATACAGTACAAACATACACAAAAGATAAAGGTTTGTCCTGTCCAGGCTCATCTGACTTTAAGGGACAGTGCTCATCTCCATTTCTTGGCCGAGGGAGCCAGCTTTGTCCGAAGACATTTCCATGTCATGTGGCCAGCATGACTATATGCCAAGGCACACGGAACGCTGTTACCTTCCTACAGAAGTAGTATCTATTTATCTACTTGCATCTGCATGCTTTTGAACTACTAGATGGGCAGGAGCTGGGCCAAGGATGGGAGCTCACCCAATCATGTGGCACTCGGGTCTCAAATGCGGGCTATCAGCTTTCTAGCTGATAAGTTCAGCATCTTTAACCACTGACTCACTGTGCCCCTATATACTGTATACACACACACACATCGATGATATACAGTATATACATGCACTGATGATGTTACCTAGTTTGGGTAATGAAACATTTGCAAGAAAATTACAAAGCACAGAGTGCTCCAAGGACCTTTCCTACAGTACCCTTATTCCCATTGGTGGAAAAAGATAGCACATATCAAAATCAAGTTTTGCAACTTCTAATATAAATTATGAAAAAACAATTCAAAGTCCAAAATTAAAGAAAATAAATAACATCTCCTCTTTAAAAATATACACTGTATCGTCTAAATATATGAATACCTTTTCTACTCTTCTTCCTGTAGTATGCAGCTAGATTATAATTTAGCACAATGTAGAAGTTGGCCATCATAGTCAACAAGCCATGGTATATGTTTTAGCAAGTATTCAGTTTCAATAAACTACAGGTGAGGCCTGCATGAGTTCAACTGCTGAAAAACAGGTTGATTCACACATCACAGTAAGCCAAACATATTTTGGCTTAGTTTTGGCTCATCAAGTTAGAATCTCTTGATTCTATAGCAGTGGTTCTCAACCTTTCTAATGCCGTGACCCCATAATACAGTTCCCCATGTTGTGGTGACCCCCAAGTGAGTGTGGCCACCAATAAGAGGGAGTAGGACAGCTAGGGAAAAGGGAAAAAAATGGCGGACAGCATGGTTTGGCGACCCCCGTGAAATGGTCATTTGACCCCAAATGGGGTCCCGACCCACAGGTTGAGAACCACTGTTCTATAGTAACTAGGATCTGATTATTTAATCCAAAGACAGAAAACATCTCAAACAGCTTACTCTTCCAAAGTATCAAAGAATTTTTATTCTTCCGCTTTTTAATATCATCCCTTCAGCAATTCCTCCCAATTCCCAGCAAATATTCATGGGAGAGAATTGAAATAGTAACCCATTTTTCTGTGCTGCATACTGTATAGTGATTATCTACGGCACCTTACCTTAATACAAAAAGCTGGAAAACTTTTATCTGAACTTTTGCTTACAGATGACGTTTCAAAGTAACAAATAACACAATTCTGTTGGGCAGTTTGCCAGACATGGCAATGTTACAAGAAGCAGCAGAAAGTATACCAAGATAAAGTCACCTTTTTTACCATCTCAGACAGGTGATTGTCAAGTCTCTTCTTTAAAATCTCCAGTAATGGAGTGTCCAAGATCTCTGGAGGGAAGCCGTTACACTGGTTGATTATCCTCACTGTCACATATTTAAAATATGAAGTCTTTATTATTTGTGTAATGTCTCCTGGTACTCATGAAGATCTCGTCCTATTGTATCATCAAAAATCTGATATACAATGTTTTTCAATAACAATGTTATAAATGTGCTAATTAGTAGAAATCGTTTGTTAAGAATCCTTCCACAGAGCAAGAATTCAGCGGACATGCATGTTAACGTTCATTGGGTTGCTACAGCACTTACCACTTCAACACGTGCAAGAATGATAGGAAGTCCAAAAGCAGAGACCACGATTCCAGTTGTGAAAAAATACGACAGTTCCTTGCAAGTACTGCTTGCTGCATCTGTATCATCACTTACTCTTCTTGCAATAAAGTGAGGAATAGGGCATATGGCATAAAATATCAAGACAAATAATGGCCAGTAGGTACTGCAGAACGATAAAGAACAGGAGGTTAAGGAAGTTTAAAATAAATGCTTATGCAGTATCAACTTCTTTGGTCATATACAAAAATGTAGCTGTATATATTCACATATCTATCTTATCACATGCGATAAATATAGGTAGATCTCCCATTGCTAAACAAGACAGTTGTTAAGCAAGTTTTGCCCCTTGTTATGACTTTTCTTGCCACAGTTGTTAAGCGAATCACTGCAATTGATCAGTTAGTAACATGGTTGTTAAGTGAATCTGGCTTCCCCTTTGACTTTGCTTGTCAGAAGGTCACAAAAGGTGATCCCATGGGACATTGCAACTGTCATAAACACATGCCAGTTGCAAATGTCCAAATTTTGATCGCGTGACCATGGGGATGCTGCAACGGTCGTAAATGCGAAAAATGATCTTAAGCCCCTTTTTTCAGGTCCGTTGTAATGTTGGTCACTAAATGAATTGTTGTAAGTCGAGCACTATTTGTATACAAGTCACCTTCTATTGCTTCCCCAATACCCACTTTTTTGATCCATATATATAATGCATTTTATTCAATCCACTGATTTTTGGTACATTTTTGCCAGACTAGTTCAGTTTTGCTCTCTTTTCATACCATTTCCAAGTATTAATCCCACTTATTACTACTCAAATTGTATTCCTTTACTATATTTACAGGCTTTTATGCCAAGTAAATGTGTTCAGAATTTACATGCTTGATTGATAACAAAGAACTGATATTGTCTCACTCAAAGTAATATGCTCTTACCCATACGTTTCTAAGGCACATCCCAACATAAGAAACGTCAAACCAATGACTCCAGTGAATGATAAACCAACCAAGGCTGCGAAAGTGGAAACAAAAAGAACGTCACTCAGTTTAATTTTAATAAAGCAACTATTATGAATATAATTATAAAATCACTGGCTGCTGACATTCTTTAAAAAATAATGTTAGCACACATCATGGAAGCTCTAAGCAGAGAGATGAATGATGTAGTTAACTTGACCATATAAAGTGATTTCACATTTCCCTTTAAAAATGCTACCGCCATACCTACTAAACTTTATCAAAGGAGCAAACTGATGCTGCTTGCAAAAATTTATCCTTCCCGATTAGGCGCTTCGGTTCTTAGATTTTGAGTTCAATTTTTAATTACGCCACGGATCAGAAACAGTTCAACAAAGTGGAACAGAAATAGGACACACTGGCCTTAGTAGTTTCAAGAAACTATGCGCCAAAATCTGCTGAAAGGAGGCAAAGGAGCAGTCAGGGAGTGCTTCTACAGGATGGGCAAAGAGGAGGAAGGATCGGCAAAGAAGAACTTTGCTGGCACCCGAGAGGTCCAGATTGTAGCATGACAGTGATCCAGCTGAATAAGAACGACAGAGGGAGGGAGAATCTTCCTTTCCTTTGACCTGTTTTCCGCGGGACTGAAATATCCTTCGGGAAGCCCCAGGCAGAATGCGGGAGAAAGCGACACCATTAGCAACAGCAGAATGGAAAAGTTCTTTACGAACTAAAAGTTCTTTACGAAGAGAGCCTGAATAGCCGGCGAGAAGGTGGGAAAAATTAAAAGATGGGATCTTCAGTCTCTCGGGGAAGGGATGCGGTTGCCACAGCGATAAGGAGAAGGTTGAAACGTACTTGACTTCCTCAAGATAATCCCTCACAGAGAAGAAGGGGAAATGGCTCATACCTTTGATCCCCGCCATGCCTCCTTCCTTGAAGGGGCGATTCTCACGATCGCTTTCCGGAGTTCGAGGCAGAGGAGGCGGAGTGTGAGGAAGCTTCTTCCGCCTTCTCTTCACGTGGTCCTCTGCTAACGCCTGCCCCTTCCCTCAAGGGGGAAAACAAAAGAGGGAGAAACGAAAAGAAGTTGCTTCACAGAAACGAAAGTACCCAAATACCCATCGCGGCGCGCCACCGCTTCGGGGATCTGGCGGGATCGAGAGAGATCTTTCGCGAAAGGCATACCGATCGGCTGCTTCGTGTTCGAACAGCACCAGCTTGCGAGTAAATCTCACAGTACGTTTTCTCCTCCTCCTCCTTCCTCCACCCAGCTAAAATGAACTAGTTTTGCTTTACTGTCGTCTCAGAGCTTCGGCGGAAAATATACGTCCGCTTTTAATTTTAAGAAGCATTTGTTTTGGGGATAATTTGCGGAGGAAAGTTGTCATGGATTTATTAACATAGAGCAGAATACTTTTATTCCTATTCCTATTTGCGCGTTATACCTGCCGAAAAATCTGTAACGGCACAGCAAATGAAGTTTGAGAACTTCTACTCCATCCCAGATTTTACCCTTTTGATTTCTCAAAAGCAGTTTGACCCATGGTCAAAATATATGGAAAGTCATGAGGGCGTTTCTTCTTTCCCAGGTGAATAGGATGATAGGACGCGGAAAGAAAAACATTAAAATGATTACTTCTCGAGCAGCATATGAAGGCTTTCATGTGGAAGTGCCTTTAGTCTGAAGCGTTAAACTAAATTACTGATGATGGGTGTCCTCAGTAAACAGAGGCTCATAGAGTTGGAAGAGACCTTGGAGGTCTTCTAGTCCAACCCCCTACCCAGTTTGGGACAAATAGTTGTTCAATCATCTCTTTAAAATGTCCACTAAAGGCCCTGTACTTCAAAGAGACAGAATATTCACTTTATTAATGGCTCTGAGAGTCAGGAAATTCCTTCTAATTTCAAGTTTAGATCTGTCCCTATAAAGCTTCCATTGGTTGGTTCTGCCTTAGAGAATAAATCCCTGAATTATAAACGCCTGTTTTATGCTTTTTAGTATACAGTACTTCTCAGTACCATCCATGCATAGCATGGCTATTTCACCTGGGATTTTTTTTTTTACTGGCCCTGTAATATGAATATTGCATACATTCTTGAATGTTTTCCTGCCTTAAATGTCCACAACTACATAAGAAAAGCACTTCATCAGCATAATTTGTCTCCTAACTAACAAAATTTTCAGCAAACAAGTCCATTCACCTCCCCCTTTTTTTGCACACAGCATAATATTCAAGAGTTAGACTGCTGTGAAGAATAATTGGTAACTTTATATCGATTTAGTCTATTGCTTCTCTGACCATTCATACACAGAGGATATTGGTAGAATTGCAAGCAATCAAAGGCAATAGCAGGTATTCTTTCATAAGGAAAGGGTTAAAAAAAACAGTGTAGAAGCATAGGAAAGCTATAAATAGAAAGCAGCATTATTTTGATATATCTTAAAATTCCAAGAAAGAATAATCGAACAAGGAACCGCCATCTGGAGGTTTCCCAGAATATAAATTCAAAAAATTGTAGAGAGGGATCACCACAGATTTGTATGGGTTTATTTTAAAAGAAAATGGCTTCCAGTTTACCATTTCCATGTCATCATACTTGGTGTACCTGTATATCTTGTGATCCTTCTATATCTTCAAACTTTTATTCCGCAAAGAATAAATACAAATCAAATGGACTGAGTTCTTTGAATTTTTTAATATATACAGATCTTTTAGACTATTCACAGTTCAATGAGCTTACTGCAGATTTACAAAAAAGAAAAAAGAACTCTTGATACACCTGAATAAAAGTGTTATTTTCTGATCGCATCAAAAAGAAAGGAGAAGAAACCTTATCTGGTTTCAATAGTTTTGATCGCATAGCAGGTTTCATTTTCATGCATAAAACACAGCAGTTAGAGGAGGTGTTTAAGCTGGATAATTTTCCATGATGCTGAACTAGGATGAAACTTAAGGATTGCTTTGTGTGTCACATAAACTTGTAAAAATAATAAATTTGATACACTAAGCTAATCATTGGCATAATTTCGAAAATGCTTGCTATATTAAATCTATTTATAAACAGCATCATAAGCATCTACAGGTCGAAATAAAGGAGTAAAACCATTCACAGGAACATAATTCACATTCCAAAATGTTTTTTAATAGACAAGCACATAATTGATCAAAACATTTCATAATATGTTAATAAATAACATCCAGTTTGTTATTTTTTTTTCAAACATCTTAATGTATATATAAAAAAGGAGAACTTGGTTTTTTTGATTCACATTGGCAGTAAATGGCAATAAATAATAGATCGATACAACAAAAAGATGGCATGTAATATAAAAATAAATGTAGGCTGGTTGACATGCTGTATCTGCAGAAAAGGGTTTCTCACTAGAAAATCAGAACAAAAAAAACAGATTGTCTTAAAAACTAAATAAAGATTTTCACATTACCTTGAAATTCCTCCCTTTAAGAAAGAGTGAAAACTTCTGCCCATCCACTAGCCTCCTAGTGAAAATACAGACAATTTTCCTCCACCCAGTGTTTTTTAGACCTATCTCTGAACAGCTTTATAGGAGATAGGCAGTATAATAGATTCTAGTGTGTGACAGGACTGTAGTGCTACCATACATTCAATAAATGAGAAATACAATTTGCAAATGTCACTTCAGGATCAATAATACTCAGTCCAGGTTTACACAGTTGTTCCTGCAAGCTGACATAATGACAGCTGTTTAGGAGGGAAAATAATGCATAATTGCCTGTAACTGGATTTCATTCATTAAATAAAATTGCCATTACGTGTTTCTCTGCAGAAAAAGTACTATGTAAAATTAGTTTTGTAAAAAGGTGACAAAAACACTTATCTTCAGAGGTACCATACAGATGTTTGTATTTTATTGCTTTTTGAGCCAATATATCTGTTGTAGGTAAGATTCCATCATTTGAATAAGATACAAAATAAATTTTTTCCAGAGGCTTAGAAGGTGAGTATGTTGCTATCAGGCTGTATTAAAAATGATCTGGAAAGCATTATGTTTGACTGAACTTGATTAAAATTTTGGAAGAACATAATTAATGGAAAAGTCAAGGATTCACCTGTATGTAAAAAGGTAATATATCTCAATGGGGAATTTTAAAAGCTTGCAATATAACTACACCCTCAGTTTCTATTAGTGCAGAACAGTCAACTACAGTGTGCTACTGATTTTGATACCATCTCCAAGAGGTTTCTGACTTAATATAATAGATTATTAAAGATGCAACTCCAAACTTAATTATTGTGTAGAATATCTGTTTAAATCTGAAACTTGAAATACAATGCAATGTTTAAGGCTGCAATAAGTTACCAGCGACATAATCCAGTTATTCAAAATATAATAAACAATTTAAGGGCCAATTGGGGTAAGAAAGAGTGTGTTTTAAATAACTGCATATGAATGAGGATGTAATTTGAGTTAGTTCTGGATACAAACTTCAAAATCAAGCCACACCCAAAGTGGTACAGAGTCCCTTTTGCTAAAGGCAAAGAGACAATTTCATCTCACTTGTTCCAAGGCAAACAATTCTAGTTTACTACTAGAATGTCTGTTTAAATCTGAAAGAACATTATAGATCAGTCCCAAGAACTCCTTTCTTTTTGCATCTGTAATTCATAAGGATCAGCCTTTTCTTTCCTCCCCGTCCATGAAGAATATTTTTTTAACTGGGCTAGTATTAATACTTTTACACCTCCAGCCAGACTTCAGCTCAGCTGTGAAAATCATGTGGCAAGGAACGATACAAGCACTAGTACAGATCTACAGCAACGTCTGAGGAGGAATGCTAATACAAAGGCTTCTGACCCTGGTTGTCAAATTCTGACCAGGCATCATTGAGCTCCATAAAAATCATCTTTGCATATTGTTCATATGGCTGTCCGGTAGCCTGGAAGGAAAAGCAAAACAACAGGTCTCATAAGTACAAAAATCTGTTTGGAAAGTACTGTACACACAAAAAAAAGTTCAACAAAAATTTGGGTTTGCTTAGGCCAGGGGTAGGCAACCTGGGCTCTTTTATGACGCTGGCTCAGGAATTCTGGGAGTTGAAGTCCACGAGTCATAAAAGAGCCAAGGTTACTTACCCCTGGCTTGGGCAAATCCATTTTTCTCCATGGGTTTTTAATATTTTTTTTTTTTTAAAAAAAAGACTAAGTCTAAGGCTTAGTTTTGTACCAGTCACCTCAGGTGAAAGGGTTTTTAGGCGATAGGGGAAATTGTGAAATGATGGAATTTCACTTTATAAAAAAATATAATAAAACCAAAGGAGAACTAGAAACCTCACAGAGAAGTGTGTGTGTGTGTGTGTGTGTGTGTGAGAGAGAGAGAGAGAGAGAGAGAGTTTTTAAAACATTCTGCTGTGATATGAACCAGTAAAGTTTGACTTGCAAGGCAAGAGTAATACTAACTATTACAGTATTACTGTTACAGTAACAGAAAGGTTTAAATGATATAAAAGCAAATACTAAGCACTGACTCAGCTGAAGCCCTTCCTTCCTCCATAAAGTGCCCCATGAAGTATGAAGAGTAGCCTTAAGCTAACTAAAGCCTTCATCCCAAACTGATGGAACCCCTCCAGATAAGGCAATAGGAAAACTTTATTTCAGAAGTAGAGCCCCAAGGTCACTGTGAAAATGAATAAGTATTCATAGAAGGTGACCTTGTCTATTTCTGTCCTCCAAAAAGAGTTGAACAACCAGGCAGAGCAGATAAACCCATAGATTTATTCCATGTAAAACAAACAAGAGGGTTGGGCTAAGTCTTGTTTTTGAAACAAATCAAACCACAAAGCTATATTATTCATTTGTGGAACACTGCACATTTTATCAAGTTTGATTATCTCAGAAAAGTCTTACTTATCAAAGCAACAGAGCAATGACAATAAAATTAATGTTGCACACTTTTGATCATAGTGGGGTTAATATAGGTTGTACGTGTTCATTTATACTAAAGAAATACTTGTAATGCAGACTCTCATTAGCTAGCTAATAATTGCCAATCAATGTAATCTTAATGGC